GGACAAGATCACTCTTGGCTTGGCGATATGGCTCTGTCGCATGCTGGCCTACTCGCAGCCTGCAAGGAAAAACAGGGCCGACTGGACGAGGCCGTCGAGGTGCTGACTGCTCATATGAATGCATACAGCATGACAGACGAGCAGGAAGCCGCCGTTAATCTCGAGCTCGGGGTGAAGTACTATCGGATGGGCAGCACCTCGGCGGCGATCACGTCATTCAAGTCGGCAGCTCGCATCGCCCTAACGTCGGATGCAGATGAAAGGATTTCAATGACAGCGTTAGCCAACTTGGAGAAGCTGCTCCAAGAGACAGACAACACAGCCAAGGCAGATCGAGTACACCGATACCGTATGGATCGCCTAGCAGCTTTCGCAGAGAAGTCGGCATCGATATCGAAAGGCTTCACTGACGAGTACGACGACGACAGCGATGGGACGAACGACCTTGAGGACCTGCCAGAATGGCTGTGGAAGTGTGACGACGGCGAAGGGGCAACACCAAGCTGGCTCGAGCTACCTACTTTCGGTTGGGTCGACAAGACATCCCCTTCATCGTTTGTCGGTATTCCTGCGAGCGCACTGGAATGGACAAACACGTCCCAGTCAGGATCTCCTGCAGTCCTGTCGACAGAGTACTCACCACATGCAGTGGATCATCTGATCGATCCCGAGGTCGAATATCTGTACAGACACGACAACGGCATTCGGCAGACTTGACGACCTTGTTTTATTGCACGAACCAAACACGATGGTCATTGGCCAAGCAGACATCTGCTAGGATCAACGACAGGTGATACGCCGCTCAAGGAAGCTGGTCATCGCTGTGGCCTTTTGCGAGCTCAGGCTACCAGAATGCCGCCACTGAATGACTGGCGATTTGCTCAAGTTCATTGGACCGTGGCTCTGCGGTAGCTGGTGATACGGATTGGCGCCGTCAAGTCTCTCCTCAGGGCGGCTCTGGATCTCGAACAAAGCTGAACCTGAAGTATATGGCAGATGAGCAGGATCGACTGGCCAGGCGAGGTTTCTCCGGACAATGAAGTAAGCCTTTGTAGGTCGAAATTACGGAATTCTGGGTAAAGAGAGACGTAACGCATCGATACCTTCTGGAAAACATTAGCTCGTCATTGTCGCTACCAGAATGGGGTTCTGTCACCGTCCTCGATGAAGATGAGAAGCGACAGAGGTCAATGAGGAGAGGCAATACATGAAATGGAAGAGAGAAAGAACCGACCAGCTTGCATAATAAAGTACTTTGGTTTGAGTACTTGGTGCTTGGACCATGAGGTTCGATGGAAGGGATCCGGCGGGAAGGAAGTTCAACAGATCAACGGGGAAAGAGTCGGCCACTCTCTACTTACACCGGCACGAGAAGGAGGCACCTCAAGCTGAGGAGGGAGGTGAGGAAGGAGACGGGAAGGAGACGGGAAGGGGACGGGAAGGAGGCGAGGTGGTTTATTTGGGCAGGCCTTGATCACAAGCAGAAGAGGCGTGGCAAGAACCAGGATGCTGTTGAGAACTCGACGTGTTGTGGCGAAGAGAAACGAAGTCGGAAGATACCAAATAGAGGAGCAAGACGCGTTTACACCCAGGTAATGATATGAAGGAAAATACACGATGCCTAATCTCCACACAAGAGACAAGCAAATCATTGACCTTTCGTTCACTTTGTCTTGCTGTTCTCAATACGCTGTTACTTCCTAGTGTATGTCTGCCTGTCCTCCCACCCCCCTCTTACCGCAGGTTGCAAGAGTTGGATTTGAGAATACCTACCTGAAATGAGGTGGCGATAGATGGCAGCCTACCTGCCTCAGATACTTTCTTGCCCTCCCTTCTTCTAGGTACCGAGCTGCCTTTTCCCAATTACCTGCCGATGGGGAGAATCGAGAAGAACACCACAGAACATTCCATTGGGCCGGTACCTGGCTGAGGTATCTACCTTACCTAAAGTATCAGTGACAAATGCGGTTTGTATGAGCAAGGAAAGCAGGAGACATGACGATGAAGGAGGGACAGAAGCAGCGGCAAGATAGGTAAGCAGGCAGGCAAGCACCTTCTTGGTCACCGCAGATGCGGTCCTTCCTTTGTCAGACTCACAAGGCAGAGGGGAAGTAGCAACAGCAGCAGCTCGCTGCCTTGGACTGCAGTCACCCTCAATCTTGACTATTACTCATCAGAATGACGACGATGATTGCGAAGCCAACACCAAGAACACCATATCCACGATAATCTGATGAAGACCATTTGCCTCTATTTCTTTACCATACTCTCGGCCGCACACACCGGCGATATTCTCCGGATATCGGTGCCAATGCGAACGGACGACGTGGGCGTTTTTGGTCGACGGACCTCCGCCTCACGGTCCGACCAGCTTCGGCCTCCCTTGGCTGATGACCATTGACCCGAAAAGAAAACGCTGGCAACAAGATCAAACCGTCGTGACTGCTACATACGTCATCATGCATCTATTCCATGTCGGATGCTCCGAGAGATCTTTAGGCATGCACCAAATTTTGAGGCGTTGGAGCTACCTGGGAAGAAGGCACCAATAGCCCGCACTCCTAGTCCATCGTGGGCACAAGCGGCCAATCGACGCTGCCCAAGCCGAACATGGAGCGAAAGCAGAACGGGATAGGAACCTGTGGGGGAGGGAGGGGCGCTTGCGGGCGACTCAGATCCTAGATATGGGTATGCGGGTACCTATTGACAGACTTACTGGCTGAAATAAGCGTGAGCATTCTGTAACATTTGAGTCTCGATAATGCAGCATTGACGAAAGGGACCCGTTTTGCAGACTGAATGGCTTGAAGCGCCGTCTCATAGAGCTACGGGTAGTGACCGTTGTGCCGACGTCGTAGCCGACGTCGTAAAACGGAGGACATTACTACGGGCCAAGCAATTGATATCCGATGGGCTCGACCGGCAAAGATCGCCGAGGGAGAGATAAGATCTCTGACCTGCAGTGACCTGACTCTTTCATATCCGTCATTTGCGCCGTTGAAAGTCAAACAAAAGGAAGCATTGACAACAAATATCGGCGACCGTGTGCGAATGACTCGGTGGTAACTAGCGATGGATCTTCATGTGCACCCAAAGAGACTGTCACGCATGGCACTCTCCTGCGGTTTACGGATACTATCCTTCACAGTTGGACGAAGGCTGACACCAACTAGGGAGCTTTCATGTCGAGGAACACGTCCAACTCTTCGTGGATAGAATCTCGCACGCTATTCATCCTACAGCCGCTTACAAGAAAATGGTCGAGAACTAGAGGGTGGTAGCCGGCACACCGGCACACCGGCGCTACCATTTCCTAGCCCATAGAGACGCTGCCGGCATGGCCTACACGCATAGCCCAAGGTCAACATTATTCATGATATGCTTGCCTAGTGCGGCCCTAATGATCGCGACGGTCTCGGGCAAAGTTGGTTGAACTCAATTCCACCTCACGAGCGGACCTGGGTCAGTCATAGATCAAACTTCTTAAAGGCAGCCGATAACAACAGTCAGTCGAGAACGCGAAATGTCGTGAGATGCCATTGTCGCCTGCCGAATGCGCCCTTGGCCGAATCCGTTCATTTGGTCAGACGCCGGTAGCTGCATGTGCATGGCAGATACATATCACAGGCCGCCGACAGCCCATCCGTGTAGCCAAACAGAGGCCACATACTGCGCGCACGGTATGTTGGTCTCTCCCTCTTCCTCTAGACAGTTCTAGTGGGCAGCGATTTTGTCGCGACAGTGGCCCATTCATTCTGTCAAGTCAAAAGCAAGGCCCTCAGGTACGCAATCATACAAGAGACCAACAAAAGACAAGATCCATCGCGGACGGGATACAGGCAGGGAACAGCATACCAGGCCCAACCAGTCAGCCGGTGTAGCATAGCACGGATGGAGATTGGGAAAGTCAATAAACGGGACGCTGGACCCAGTTCCGAGCCAGACGGTGCCACGGTGGGAACCTCACCGGCCCACCGCTATCCAAAAGCAGCTTAACGGGTAGCAGCTCTGGACGAGGCCAATTTTAAAGTCGTCTGCTCCGATCCCCAACTGGAACCGGTCGCCCTATGAGGTTGTACGCCCTTGGAATTGATGCCATGGGCCATGGCCTAGGCGAGCCCCCAAACCCTCCGTGCCTCCCTACTCCGTTGCCCATCCACATGGATAGCGGACACTGGCGGTACCTGTCACGGGCTGTAGCGAGTGGTCTCGCTGTGTACCTGGGAAAAGAGGGACATGCACTGTAACGTAATATCCGACGGGCACATCACTTCCTGGGGGTGTGAACATGGGTGTATGGAAGGGCGCCTCCTCGACTAGACATGAGAGTTGAGAAGTCTTGAAACGACGAATGTGAAGGGGTTGTAATAGGATCTGGTTTGCTTCTCGGTCTCTGCAAAGACTTTGGTCTGCGGTCAGCTAATGTTTATCAAGGCCGATAGGTTGAACGATCCCAAGAGGGGCATTGGGTATGATCCAGGACACTGCCGGCCGTCTTAGAGCTCGATAAACAGCGTTGGGCGACAGCGCATCTACTTCAATTGTTTCGAGACGCAGACTCGCCTGGCTCTGCTTGGCAGTGCAGTTGTTTGTAGTCAGTCAGTCTACTGTGGCCGTAAGGCACTGGCTGGCATATTCTGATATTCATGGCTCATTACTACATGCCTATCCGGTTGCCAAGGGCCGGATGGTTGAAGGGATTGCAGAATGCCGTATTACCGTCAGACGGGCCATTTTGGACTGGACGCGGCCATGTCATGGGGGCCAGCCAGGCGAAGCGACTACGAGTGAAATCTATTCGTAGACTTGGACAACATACTCGAGCCATTTGGTCGAGCTGTGCCGCCGATTGTCACCCGTCACCAGTGGCTCTGACACCAACCATTCCGCACCTGGGCTGGCTCCGGACAGACGTGACGACGACGGCCACGAGGCACCGAAACCAAAAAACATGGTGCATAGAGATGAGTGCAGGCGAAGAAGTAACAGGTGGATTAGCGTCAGACCGGTGCGGCGACGGTTGGCTGGCTGTTTTGGGTCCAGGCCAACGACGGATAGGGCGATGAAAGAGGCACGAACGAACGGTTGAGTTGCAGAGGCAACGGACGTTGGAATTTCAGTTTCCTTTGTACGGACAGGTACCCTGGGTGTAAGGTAAGGAGGTAAGGCGCATGGTGAAAGAAGGGGAAGCTTGCCACGCTTTGCCTTTGGAGGTTGAGGCTTGCGTTTGCAAAATTGATTCATTGCCCGGCCGGGTAATTGTGGAACCAATGCCGTTCTTTGTTTCCCCCCTTGCTCCTCTGTTGCAGCAGGATAAGGTAAGGCAAGTGGCAGGCCAGATACGTACGGATATCCGTAAGGTACGGATTACGGAGTATCTCAAGGGCCATTAGGAACATTCGAGGTTATCAGCCCAATCTGCCAGGGAATCACGGAATAGATACCTTGCTGTGCATATGCGTCTAATCTTGCAGCAGAGGGAGCATGGGCAAAAAGAGGTTTAGGAAAAGCAAGCAGGTATGGAGAATGGCCAGGGAATGTGATGAAAAGAGGGTTTTTTTTGGGCAAATCAATAAAGTCACGAGTGTGATGACTCTGATGAGTGAATTCAGAATGAGAGTGGGCGGGGATCCGCAGTGGTATTTGATCCGTTATGAACTGAACCCATCCGCAGTACTCCGTCCGTGACTCCGTACGCTACTCCGTACAGCTTGCTGCTTGCCTTCCTACTGCGTAGGATGCTGACCTTGGGAGAACCAGAACTCAGGAGACGAAAGAGTTAGGTAAGGAAGGTAGCCCGGCGAATACGGACCGGAGACGGAGGGGGGCTAGACCCGACCGATAGCCGTGCATTGACACACGTCTGTACTCTGCACGCAGATACTGCAGGCAGGGTCTGGTACAGGAAGGTGAGGTCGGCACGCAAGGTACTTTTCTCTCTCTTGCCTCGGGCTGACAACCTATACGGACGGCAATCAGACTCGAATCTTTGGCGAACACGATGTTCTCTTTCTAGAATTTGAGTCTCGTGGGCCTCGGGGCATTTATCATTGAAATGTAGGCACCTATCTACCTACCTTACCTAGGTACATCAATAGAGAGGACGTAACCTTGTGGCTGGCTTAGTCAGACCTCGTACTTTGTTCCTCCTCGGTCTCAATGGAACCAATCAAACGTTTGACGTGCGGCCGTGCCCCCCGTCTTTGGCTGGTGACTAGTCCATGACTGGCTCCGTTTCGAACGGCTTCCCGTGCTATAGCATGTCTGACCTTGACCCTGCCGTCTCCGTTCTTTTTCCACCTTTGGGTTTTTTGGCGTCCAGTCCAGTCGCACCTGGACTTTTTTGCTTGAGGTGGGCGACTGTGGACTCTCTGGGTTCTTGGGGGTTTGGCACCGCATCGCGCCGCGCTCTTGCTCTTGGTTCCTTCTCGTCCGCTCGGTTCTCCCTGTCACTCACTGACTGCCATTTTCTTCCATTCTCTTTCGTTTTTGTTTCTCATGCTCCCTGAACCATTTCCATCATCCATTCTCTCCGGTCAGAAACTGGCACATACCTCTACACAAAGACCAAACGAACACACACACGCATATACTCGGGCACGGCATCCCAGGGACATCTCAACTTGGGCTTGATCCCGGCATAAGACACTGGGTACACTGGGACGTTGCGTTGCGTTTGCGCCGCCGACTTGCTTGACGCTCCGGTTGCTGCTTCTGCAGCCCCCAAAAGTGCTTGTTACCTTTACGCTACCTGCCGTATCCTTTTCTTGCTGTTGCTACCTACCTTACCTTTTACTCCGTACTGCCGCTACGCTGCTGCACTTCTCTCTCTCGCTCAACATAGCCCAACCGAGCCTCCCCCATGTTCTCGTCATAGCCCACCCCCCCTTCCTCCCATCGCTGCTGTTATTTCTGCCCCTTCCCTTCCCTTCATTTACCCTAACCTCGACCCTCTCCCTCTGCAGTTCTCATTCCCTTTTCCCGCTCCTGTTTCCCTCCTTCTCCCCCGCCATTCCTTGCGTGCGGCCGCCGCCAAAGGCTCCTTTCCCTCGTTTCCCCCTTCTTCCCTGCCTGTGTACGCTGCGCAGCGCGGACCCCCGAGTCAATCGCATCCAAAGAGAAAACAGGTGCTTGAACCGCCAAGGTTTCTCAACTGCATCATAGAGAGCAAGAGAGACCTATATACTACGTAGAAAGACCGTACCATCGGGTGAGTTCATCCCCCATCTTCTTCCCAACTCTACTTCAGCTTCTCGAACACAACACACCCCCACGGACCACACAATCTACACCTCTCTTTTACTCCAAGACCCAAAACGGAAGACGGACAAAAGAGAAAAGGAACGGTGGTGACTGACGTTGGCCCGGTTCTGTGGGCGCCGTGTGTAGCCAGCTCATCCCGTCCCGTCCACGTCCTACGTCCTACGAATCGCAGACGGTCGCCACCCTCCCATTGATAACCTCGCGCCGGTCCATCCCCCGCCAGCAACGCTTCTCTGCGATCCCGATACGCACGACCGTCCGTACCCACCTCGTCCACACGTTGCATATAATCATGTCAAACGGTCCACCCCAGTCCATGCCTCTACAAACCCAACACCAGAACAAGGTTGATGGGAGTTCCGGTCCCTTCGCCTCAGATACAAACACCCACAATGCAGCAGACTTCAACGACATCTCTTTCCCTTACGTCTCCAACCCTCAGATCCAGTTCCAGACACACACAATAGCACCCTCGCCGCCCTTGTCCGAATCATCCTTTCAGCAACTGGAGCCTCCCTCGAGTCAGAGACCCGGCCCCAGTCCACTTGCCGCCAGCAATTCACTCCGAATCCAGACGTCAGACTTTCATCCCAGCCTCCCCACACGAACCGACATTCACTCAAACGACGCCCTTTCGACCCCGCGCCGCCCGAGTAACGCCCTCCAACATAAAACCTCGTCCTCCAATCTAAAACCCATATCCCGTACCCCAAGCTTCAAAGCTGCCATCGCCAACAGCCTGGGTCCCGCCTCGGCTACAAGCTCGTGCATGCCCAGTCCCATTCTCTCGGCTATGAGCGACGTCACCCCGCTGCCTTCACCTTTGTTATCTGGAGACTCGCCCGGCCCTTGGAGACGTCTTGGGGTGCGACCGCCTTCAAGGGATCAAATGCAAAACCCAGCCCCGGACTCCGTCCTTGTCACGTCTACCGGCGAATCAATAGCGGTAGCCTTGGCCAACGCCTCGAAACGCAAAGTCTATGCTGGCCTGGTGGCCGAGGGCTCCGACGGTGCGGGCGCAAAGGGACCATTGAATGGCAAGGCCGAACACGCGCGGAATCGAAGCATCAGCGAGTACATCCCGGACCCCAATTACGTTCCCAAGCGACACATCACCGTCTCAGGCTCCCACACGAAGCCGACAAACGGCCCCGACTCTGGCCTCGAGCCGCACATGCGCCGGGAGGCCAATCTTGCAGAATCAAGAGGCCTGACACCGGCGATTGCGCAACCACCAACCCCGCCACCGAGCGAATCATCAAGAGACTCGACCGAAATGGCGATCGGCAAACCGAAACCCGCGATAACCGAGTACTTTGAAGCCTACGGCCGCGACCGAAAGAAGAGAAGATGGAGAGCAATCAAGACGCTAGGCCAGGGAACGTTCAGTCGAGTGATGCTGGCAACGAGCCAGATGGATGACGGAAGCGAATTACTACGAACCGATAACAGCCTCACTCCGATATCCAAAATGTCGCCATCATTCAGAAAGACTCTTGTTGCAGTCAAGGTCTGCGAACACGGCCCTCGAGGAGGAGCGAGCGAGGAGAGAATCGAAATGTCACTGAAGCGCGAACTCGAGATCATGCAGACCATCAGCCACCCTTCCCTGGTCCACCTCAAGGCGTGGAACATTGAGCCAAGCCGCGCCATCTTGGTCCTTAGCCACTGCCCTGGGGGCGATTTGTTCGACGTGGCCACAGGCCATCGCCAACTCCTCAAACCAGCCTTGTTGCGAAGGATGTTTGCCGAGTTGGTGGGCGCTGTACGGTACCTGCATGAGCGCAGGATCGTCCACAGGGATATCAAGCTCGAGAGTGGGTATTTCTCTTGGTAATGGAGAGCTACCCTTTGCTGACTACTCCCAGATGTACTCGTGAACTTGACGGCACCTGAGCTCGCAGACCCCTCAATTGACTGGACGACATACCCGCACTCGGTCATCACCCTCACCGATCTCGGTCTCTCCCGCCGCATCACCGACGACGAGAAACTCGAGACGAGATGTGGCTCGGAGGATTATGCCGCTCCCGAGGTTATCATGGGTCTGCCCTACGATGGCCGCGCCACCGATGCGTGGTCTCTGGGTGTCTTGCTCTACGCACTTCTCGAAGCTCGCTTGCCTTTCGATCCTTACCCAAACACGATGGACGGCCACCGCATGCGCAGCCGCACCAGTCACCGCATAGCACGCGCGGAGTGGCGCTGGATCGACTATGCTGGCCAGGATGGCGATCACGAAGGCGACGAAACCAAGTTCAAGGAGCGCGGTCTCCTCGGTGCAATGGAGATTACCGAGGGCCTGTTGCAACGCGCAAGGAGCCGGTGGGTACTAGAGAAGGTGGCAGACAACGAATGGGTCAAGGGAGCGATCCAGGTCAGCGGCGGCGTGCGCTTCCGCGAAGAGGTACAAGGCGCAGAGGTTTAATGATATTGGAGAGGCGTTCTCTCCGTGATACCCCCTGGCAATAACGACGGGACACAGGGAAAGGAAATGAGTTTCGGTTACGGTATTTGGGGCCTGGTTGTACGAATAGGTGGGACGGACGCACGGTTGGTTGGCGGACGGACAGTGGGCGTACATGACAACCTGGCATGCCCATGATGATTTGCTTCTTGGTTGTTGGGTACTTCCCATTGGTTTCCCCTTTTTCTTTATTATGTTCAAGGCGAGTATTTCGCACTCGCATGAGGGCTGGGAGGGAGCATGAGATATCAGGGCTCTCACTCTCAGCTCTGGGACAGTCAATGTCCCAGTCTATTCAGTGACCTTTTTTTTTTTTTTTTAGATTTGAGCTGATGAACTGAACCCAAAAAATACTTAGAGACGGATGGCTCAAACTTTTTATCTACTTTTTATGGGGATAGCGACGGTGTTTTGTATATATCAGCTGGGAAACCAATCTTTCTTCATCTTTTTCTTCTCTCCGATTCACTTCACTACTGTATAACTTTTTCAAACGCGTCTGACTTGCCATAGT